TCATGACCTGAGCTGAAATCAAGAGCCAGATGCTTAACCAACTGAGCCACCTGGGTACCCCAAAGTACACTCTTAAATACAGACAACAAACTGATGGTTTCAAGAGGGGGAAATGGGTGAAACAGGTAAAGAGGAAAAGGGGACACTTGTCATGATGACCACTGAGTAACATATGGAAGAGTTGAGTAATTACAGTGTATACCCGAGACTAATATTAACACTGTAAGTTAACTACACTTGAGTTAAAGACTAATAGTAAGGCAATGCCTATGTACTAACATGGAATGCTCTCCAAAACATACTATGTGGGGAAAAGCAAACCACTACATATGACTCAATTTGTTTCTAAAAGAATGCGTACACCTGTTGCACTAATGAGAGAAAGCGCTTCACAGCTATACCAGGTGTCCGTGGTGATTACCTCCGGCACATGATGGAGGAGGTTTACGCATTATTTACCATGAGAATGTATTTAGGTACTATTCGTACAATAAAAATACAACAGTTAAGACAAAATTCACCCTGAAAAATTTGTACTCGTTGGCAGCCTCCCCACTGCTTACTGGAAGCAGTGCCCTGTAAAAACAGCCAGAGAGCGGAGCCAGCCCGGAGAGACCAAACCCCTTTGCCCAGAACCGTGGGTGTTCACTGGGAGGGCAGCAGGGAGGGAAGGGCAGACAAAACACCCCTTCCCAAGGGCCTGCTGGCTGTCCCCGCGGCTCATCTGCTCCAGCCAGCCGGGCTCAGGGCAAGCAGCATATCCTGGCAGCAGACGGGAGCTCTCCTCTCCCAGGGCTGCCTAACGTGCCAGATTACGGCACCAGAGAATCAGAGCGGTCCCTGAGGAGGAGTTATCTCAGCATCAGGCCCTGAACAGCCCTAAGCCAAGGGCACCGCAGACCCCGTCAAAAGACTCCAAGAACACAATCCCATTCACGTTGAAAGGTAGCACTTTTCTTCAATAGTTTGGATACATACTCAGAATCTGAGCTTAAAGGCCACGTAGTCTACTTACGTTTGTATTCTACACAGAGTTGTCACCCGCATGTTTCCTAAACTCTCTCTGAAAACAGGTGTGTTAGGCACTGAGGAGGGCACTTGTTGGGACGAGCACTGGGTGTTGTATGTGAGCAAAGAATCATGGGAATCTGCCCCCAAAACCAAGAGCACACCGTATACTCTGTATGTTAGCCAACTTGACAATGAATTATATTAAGAAAATGAAAAAAAAAAAAAAAAAATGAGGGGGCTTCTGTGGCCCAGACCTTTGTCTCCCTGCAGCTTCCACACTGGTGACGTGTGTGTTCTCTGGGCCACAGGGAATGACATTCATCCACCCTACACAGTAGAGGTAGAGCCCTTCAACATTACAAACACAGCTCCCTCCATGCCCCAGAACACTGCAGAAGGGAACTGGAGGTACCTGGAATATAACCTAGACTTCTAAGTCAAGTGAGGCAACTTGGCTCTGTCTCTTGATAACCCACATCCGTCAATGCTATTATCTGGGGCAGATGTCAGGAAGGAAACCATGACAAGGCATGACTTGGATTTTTAAAAGACCTGGGAATCCCGGCGACTGGGAATCTTCCTCTCCACACTAGGGACCCCACGCTTCTAGCTGGTGAATTCCAGGCACCAGGTAGGACCTGCCAACTGCAACCTCTGGCCTGACCTTGGCATGTGAACCTGGCTTCCCGTCTTCCATGCTTCCCCTTTCCCGGAATGCCCCTGCTCCCCCTCAGCCCAGCTGCAGTCCAAGAGAGGACCCCAGAGCGTCTTGAACGTGCTCCAGCATTTCCTTCACCACATTTTGACTGAGCGCCCGTGGCGTACAAGACATGACGCCAGACTCGGAGAGAGAAAAAGTGAGGGCTGGTCAAACAGAGCGTCCGTTCTGCCTTGCCGGGCTCCCACCACGTGATCGTCCCAGTCCGGTCACAATTACATTTAGACCGTCTTCTGCTGTGTGCCAGGCGATGTAAAATTGAGTGGTTGTTCTTCTCCATACCCAACTTACCCTCTGGGGAGCAGGGAGGGCCTGGAGTGTTTCAGGAGAGCAGAGTAGAAGCATCGGGCCCAACCAGACCAGGAGTTATTTAATTCTTACATCAGTTCAACAGTCAGTGGCTCACTATCCAAAAGCCTTCAAAATGCTCCCAACCACAACTCAGGGGTTAAGAAGCCCCCTAGCAACTCCTTCCAGAATGTTTCTGCTTGTACTTCTCTCCATCACGGGGCAGTCAGGATCAGTAAGCAGTCCCAGCCTCAGGCCACTACAGGCGCTACCGGAGTTCCCTTTACCTTGACCATGGGCACCAGCCCCTCTCTGCTCGTCTGCATCTCATCGCTTCTATGGTGACCCACACCTTGTGGGCAAATAGCAAGGTGGAGTCCCTTGTTGCTCCCCACCCCTGCAGCAATCCTCATCCCTGCAAGCAGCCCCTCACCAGGGCCCATGGGAAGTGAAGGGGCCAGAATCTCTGTGGAGGGGACTCTGTCTGCAGCCCTTGTGCCGGCACCCAGCAGGGCCTAAATAAAGGTCGTTCACTGCCCCACCTGCGGGTCCCTGTGGCCTGGGCAGGGTCTGTCCCTTTTTTTCCGAGAGGAGCCCGGTGGGCTGAACTAGTGAGAAAATGGGCCAAAGACTAAGGAGAAGCCTTTAATAAAAAGCCTAATATGTTTTATCACAAGGACATTCTCCAATCCTCAACACTCTGCTTCCATATGCATACACTTTTTTAATTCTAAAAAGTCTGTGCAAATTTTCAGATTTATTAGAATCTTTTCTTTAAAGTAAAAATGTTTTCTTAAAGTAAAAATTGTCACCCAGTTACAACCTGCATCCTGTTTTGTAGAAATCAGTTAATGGAAAATTTAGTTTTCAGAAACTGGAAAATAAAATTTATTTTATGCTTAAGAGGATTTTGGGGGGGCACCTGGGTGGCTCAGTTGGTTAAGCGTCCGACTTCGGCTCAGGTCATGATCTTGGGGTTTGTGGGTTCAAGCCCCGTGTCAGGCTCTGTGCTGTTAGCTCAGAGCCTGGGGCCTGCTTTGGATTCTGTGTCTCTCTCTCTCTCTCTCTCTCTCTCTCTCTCTCTCTCTCTCTGCCCCTCTCCCACTCACGCTCTGTCTCTGTCTCTCAAAAATAAATAAAATGTTAAAAAAAAAAAAGAGGATTAAAAAAATTTTTTTTTAGTTTATTTATTCATTCTTTGAGAGAATGGGTGGCTTAGTCACTTGAGCATCTGACTCGGTTTTGGCTCAGGTCATGACTTCATGGTTTGTGGGACAGAGCAGAGCCTGCTTGGGATTCTCTCTCTCCGTCTCCCTCGGCCCCTCCCCTGCCCATGCGCTCGCTTTCTCTCAACAGTAAAAAACAAACATGTTAAATTACTACTCTCTTTCTTTGTTATTGTTCTCCTTAATTGCTCTGCTTGTTTTTGCTTTTACACAAAAGCCGACATTACCCAAAAATCAATGCTGTCTGACATGACCCCGCTGTACGAACTCCATGCATTAATTTATGTTACCTCTCTTCTCCTCTCTAATGTCTTTCTTTCTGGCTTCATCTAGGTCTTCCCTAGTCCTGCTGGCTTCATCCCACATGCCTGTCCTCTCCCTGGAAGTTCTGAAGCTCTTGAGAAGAATGGGGGTCTCTCCACAGCTTCACCCCAGTCCCTGCCAGCCTTCACCTGCTTGGTGCTCAGAGCTCGACACTGTCTTGTCACTGAGTCACACGCTGCTGAATGGCACCTGTCAGCATGTCTGTTCTAGCGCCCAGGCGGATGGTAAACTCTCGCAGGGTGGGAAGAAGATGATGCCTCAATCATGTCCCACTGAGCACACAGCAGTGCTCTGCACATAGCATAAGGTCAGTCTCCTGCTGGGTAAGCCCACTTCCAATGCCAACCAAATGCCTCTCAGGCAGCCCATCGACTTGGATGTGTCGAGAGTGCTTCCAGTGCAGCTGCCTTCAGAATCCCTCTAATCTGCGGGGTAGACATTAAGTTTGATCACAGAGGGTAACCAACTCCTCCCTCCTGGCATCAGATAGATGCCCAAGACTGTTGCTTCTCCATGACAGGGGCCATGCATCCTTTACTCCTGGGTCCTTGGTCCAGCCACAGCTGGTACTCAAGGAACACCTGCTGAAGGGAGAGATTATCTCCAGGACCCAAGCTACTTGCTGGTTTTCCTTTCTATTGGAACTCCCCAACTCCTGGCCATCTGGAAGGTGGAAGGATACCCCATGACTATGCCTGTCCAAAGACAAGGTGAACACTTATTTTCCACAATGAATTTGGCAATTTCCTGCCAAGTTTAACGACTTAGTGCTGTAGATCACAAAATCAAGATCACCACAACCCTTTCCTAATCAACCACCATTTCCAATCACTCGGGCCTGCAGCCTTTACAACAACTCTGGTCAGTCTCTTCCCTTCATGGCCCATTAAAAACTAGGTACCCAAGTGCCGCTTACTGCTCCTTGATCTCTTTTAAGTCACCCTTCCCATCCTCTCCCTTCAAGTCCTGGCCCCCACCCAAGCGCAAGACCTCAAACAATGCCCCAGCTTCTGGCAT